AGGGGAGGAGGGGGAATTGCGGCGTCGCCGCCCGCTCTGTCACCGCCCGGAGCCCTCAGCTGAGGGGCGAGCCGGGCATCGCTGAGCTGCATCACCGGCCCCGCTCTCCGCGCCTCCGGACAGGGAGCCCGGGCCGAGCCGGTCCCGCCGCCGCTGGGCGCAGCCCGGGCTGAGGGGAAGGGGAGCAGGGACGACGCCTCAAAGGCGCCCCACGGTGCTTCCAGCCAGGAGCCGCGGCCGGGACAACGGGGCTGGGCAGCGCCGCTGTGCCCCCYGCGCCTCCGCCCCACGACCCGGGGCCTCCCTCAGCCGCTGCCCCGCACCCTCGGGCATTTCCTCGGCAGCTCAGGGGCTCGCCGAGCCCGCCAGGCAGCGCCCGGAGCGCGCAGGGATGTGAGGGAAAACGCTGCGGGACCGCAGGGAGTGAGGGCAGCAGAACCGGCTGTCGATCCGGGCAGCAGCCTCGGAGTTTGTCAGCTTTTTAATTTGGAGTTTCGTCCTCTTTGYTGGCAGCTGGGTAAGACAATTCTTAGTCAGAAGCATGTCCTCATAACATTTTCCAGCACAGGAMCCACTGGCGCCCAAGTCAGCAAGCACAGTGATAAAAACCAGCCTTCTTTCTCAAATCCTTTTTAACTAAACCTTTAGAAATTATTCTGTAATGCTATTTGCTACTGCAATAGGGATAATTTATATAGTGTAAGGTTAAAAAAAAAAAAATGTCCTTTCACTATCCATAAAGAGTTTGGTTCACTAGAAGTGTCACCCATACCTGTCTCTCACACAGGACTGAGCCTGAGCCTGTGTGTGGATTTTTAGTCATAGTTTTCTTAGAGGACTGAAAAAACCTCATTAATTAAAAAAAAATATGCCACTTTTGCTAAGAAAATAAAGGGTGCCTTTATTTTTCTTTTCTTAATATTCATTTGTTCTTAGCAGTCAGAAAATTACCCACTTATGTTTCTCCATTTTAATTATTAACAAAAATCCTAATGAAATAATGAAGTATAAACATATCCTAAATATTTTCCCCAAGAGAGACCTATTTTGGTTTTGGGGTTTTTTTTCCCCCTTTTCTGTTCAAATCCTCCCTTTCATAGCCTTCCTAAAGAGGAATCACATTTTGAAGTGTTTTGGACTTGCTTGTTTGTGGGGTGTTGTCACTTTTTTCTACCTCTACTGCTAGCTACTGACTTTGAACAAACTGTGCTGGTTTGTGCTGGGGTAGAGTTATTTTAAATGTGACATACTTTATTTCTAGAGAAATAAACAACAGGGATTTTAATTGTMTATATTATTATTTGATACTTCCAAATTTTTACTATAATGTAGTTTTGTGTCCTAAGTTGACTGGTGCTACCATCTATGGTATAGACTGCTAAGGCATTATCTTTGAGCAAGATAGGTTTTGTGATCTTGGYGTTGCTTCTGTACAATTTCAAGCATAGAAAGGGATCTGAAGAAAGCAACTATGACTTGGATTTCATTGCAAGGACTTGCACTGCATCATTAATAGATGCGAGTGTTTAACACAGCCTTTGCATCTTCAAAGTGAAATCTAATATAATGTGGTTCATAGAATGTTGATTTTTGTATCAAGTTCATTCTGTTCTAATTATATACAATAACAGTTTTGTATCATTCTAATTATACTGATTATTTAAATCACACATAATAGAAATAGTTGAGAGACTTAAACAGAGTAAATGGAGTAAGCTGTTCTAGGTAAATGCTTTTAACACATCAGAATTATTTACATGTCATAGGATGTTAAGGGCTGGAATGGACCTTAAAGATCATGTAGTCCAACCAACCCTCCGTGCCATGGGCAGAGACACCTCCCACTGGACTGGGTGGCTCAAGGCTTTATCCAGCCTGTCTTGGAACACTGCCAGGGTTCACACTGTCATCTGGGACCTTAACATTTCTGAATATTTTACCTTCCATTTACAATTTTCTAGGTGAGAATCTGATACTGTGTCATTTAATATTACTTATACTAAAACAAAAAACCTATGTTTAATTGCTGATCAGTGGGTTGTTTTTTTTCATGACAGAATTTTTATTTTTTCTCTTTTGTAGTAAAACAGTCTTCCCATGAATCTGAAAAACAAATAATGGAATCAGTTCCTTTGAGGAACACACCTGTTTGACRGGTAGTGAAACCGGAATGTATTTAGTATTGAAAAGTTACTAGGCTCAGTTAAAGACACACCTTTTTACACCGGACATTCTGGCACACATCCTTGTGGCCAYCTGTTGTGGTGAATTATTTGCAAAAGTTTGAAAAGATCTGAGACTTAGCTTTGGTGGGGTTTTCTTGTTTTGTTTTAAAAGTCCAGAATTCRGGTTCTGCAGGCTTCTGCTTGTGCCAAGCAATATATTTCCTTTGTATGTTCTTAACATGTGCTGGGMTTAGGATGTCAAACTGAAGTACAGGGAAATGTCTTGCTAATTAGATGATAATTCYTGATAGCTTCCAAGCTCTAGGCTGGACATCTTACAAACAGCTGTGTAGCAACATGATGGTGTTACAGGAAAAATCTGTCAATCTAATGGAAAAATCGTTCATTTTTATATTCCACAGTTGTTCAACAGAAAAAAAAAGCATCCCCATATGCAGCTGAACTATGTAAGGTTTGCACTTACTAATTAGCTTTTTAATCCATACCCTATTCTAGTATTTCTGTACAAATGGGGTGATAACAAATTCATTTTTATCTCTTCAGAAATCAATTTTTCTTTCAGAAAAAATAACTGACACCATGAACTGTTGTCTACCTAAATATTCAAAATTTGATAGAAAAAAACCAAACAAAACCAGACCGTCTACTACAGGAAAATCCTGACATTAATTTTAATATCACTGTCTTTAAGCTGGATTTAAATGTGTGGCATCAGGTTTTACAATACTGGCCACTGTTTGGGGCTGTTTTTTGTTTAACTATTCTGTAGATAGGATGTCAACTGTATTTTAATGGGAAAATATTACAAATTAAGACATGATTAAAAATAAATGTGATAATTAGTCTGTGAATGCTATCTACAAAAATAGTGGACACATTTGATAGCCCAAATCCTTATGTGCTTTCCTTCTGGATTTCATATTGGCACAGTTTCAAATCCATGTTAATTTATGTAGTAAGACCTCTGTTCTGTAACTTAATGATGTGCAAACACGTTTGTATCCATGTCATACAAATTATTACAAAGAAATGTTAACTTGGAAATAGTATTTTTTGCCCTTCAGCTGAAGGRCACTGCTTTTGGGAAGAAATACAGTGGAAAACAGCATTGTAATACTTTAGCTCATAAAATAGAAAGAAGTTAACACATAACATAAACTTCTGGTGAACATCTTAGTAAYGGTAGTATGTTACAAAGTTTTTAAGAAGTTGCTTTGAGGTCTGTGAGCCTGATTAATGGAGAACTTGTGGTTTCGATTTTTAAATGAGATTCTTGTCCAAATAACAATTCCCTACCCACAGCATGGGTCCTATCTCCATTTGGTCTTTAAGTATTTAAGGAGCACACAATATTGCAATACTTTTCCATATATAGATCAATTTAGCATGTTAGTATACTTCCCTTGCTCCAGCTGACTTTGTGGCATAGTTGCCAAAAGCCCCTTGGGACTTGGCTGAAGAACTCTCACAACATAAAAGCAAACTGCTTGTTTTTTTAGCCGGAAAGGAAACTCCTGTTAGTTATAAATTAGTCTTGAACAGCACAGCTGCTCTTCCCTGTAGATCTCCATTAGACTTGTTGAATCAGCTTGCTTTTATTCCCCATAACAGAGGTCCTGATCTGCAATTTATTCTTGCTTCATTTTGACCTTGGCTGAAGAACAAAAGCTGTGTTTTTGGCAGATGAGGTTACATGTAATGATCTCGTCACCCCGGTGTAGCAACAGAGCGTTCACTGCCTTTCACCTCTGCCTCTGGCTTGGTGGGAGGGTGGGGGTAATAAATAAAAAAAAAAAAATATGGATGTAAAATGATGGTAAATGTTACCCCGTGTCTCACTAGCTCTTCAGCTGTGTGCAGGTGTAACTTCTCAAGAAGCTGGAAAGAGTTTGAAGAATGTGAACTGGATGGGGTCCTTTCCTGAGGAGCACTTGAAGCAAGCTGAGGGCAGCTCCCATTAAAAGTCACTGATCTTTATGCTTTGCTACAGCCTTATTTTGAATGATGGCAGCGAGCTTGGTGAGCTTCAGAAGAGGGAGAAGGGGGGAGTTTTAGTTGCTGGCTCCTTGTGGCGATGCCCAATGGTGCTGGAAGAGGGCTGACAGGCAGCACATCTGTGCCCTTGTCAGGTGAGTGAAGCGTTATGTCCAGTTRTGGGYTCCTCAGTACAAGAAAGACAAGGAGCTAYTGGAGAGGGTCAATGAAGGCTAAAAATATGATCAGGGGTCGGGAACATGTCTCTCGTAAGGAGAGATCGTGGGAGCTCGGCCTATTTAGTCTGGACAAGAGATGCCTGAGAGGGGATCTCACCAGCGCATGTAAGTATCTCAAATGCGGCTATCAAGAGGATGGTGCCAGAATCTTTTTGCTGGTGCCCAGCGACAGGACGGGATGCAGCGGCCATAAACTAAAACATGGGGAAGCACTTATTCATGCTGACGGCAGCAGAGCACTGGAACAGGCTGACCAGGGAAGTCGCGGAGACTCCCTCTCTGAAGGCATTCCAAACCGACCTGGATGCGTTCGAGATGGCCCTGCTTTGGCAGGGGTGTCGGCCTGGATGATCGCTAGAGGTCCTTCCATCTCTAACAATTCTRTGATTCTGCSAGACYATTACAGGTGCGAACACAAACCGGAATCAGCTGCCAGGCCGCTCAGGGGCGGCAGCAGCACCACCCACAGCAGGGCGGAGCCGGCTTTCGGCAGCGCTTCCCGAGGTGCCCGGCTGGCCGGGTGTCGGCCCGCTTGCACGCCGGGATTTGCAGTCCGCTCTTCCCTTCCTGGTCAGAGGCGGGGCCGCCTCTCTCCTTCCGGTGTGGGCGCGCACCCGTTGGCGGGGCCGGCGAGCGGCGTTTGTTGACTTCCCCGGCGGCGGCGGGGGCGGCGCCCAGCCCCGGGAATTCCCCGCGGTGGCGGAGGCCGAAGCCGCGGCCGGGGCGATGGGCTCCCGAGGGGGCCCGAGCGGAGACCGSGAGGGGCGGCGCTGCCTCCCCGCCGAGCTGAGCGCCCGCCGCTGACCCGCCCGGCCGAGCGGGGCCCGCACAGGTTGGTGCTGGCGCGGGGGGCGGGACGCGGAGCGGCCCCGGCCGGGACTCCCCGGGGCTGCTGAGCGGCTTCGTGCCCCGTGGAAGGGGTGTGGCTCGCCCTGGAAAAAGAGGCTGGTCTTTAGTTTCTGTTCCTAAAATCTTCGTCCTTGTACAATCCCAGAATTGCTGGGTTTGGAAGGGAGATCAGGGTCCAACCCTCCCTGAAAAGGCAGGGCTACCTCGAGCAGGTTACAGGTGACACAGGAACGCGTCCAGGTGGGTTTTGAATTACTCCAGAGAGGGACCACGACCTCCCCGATCAGCATGTTCCAGGACTCTTCCTCCCTCAAGTAAAGTTCTTCCTCGTGTTGAGGTGGAACTTCTTGAGTTTGAGAAGGAGCAGACTCGGTCTTGTCCCCTGTCTTAGCCAGTCATTCCTTGGCCGGAATAAGGGAATCATCCCGTGTGGGGACTCTGAGCAGGGCAAGCAGGTACCGCTACCAAGCTGGGGGTGGGCCTCGAGCAGGCAGTCAGRCTAGTTACAAAGCTGCACCTAGTCAAGGTGAAAAACTGGGTGTGTTCTTGGAGCTGCAGTTTGTGCCTTGGTGCAGGGAGAATCTGGCAAAGAAAATGAGTCAAGTAGGACTTGGGACGTGAAAATGGAAACGTGGTGGAATAGTGGAGCAGACATGAAAACAGGTACTGCAGGCCGTGTTAGTTTGGAAGAAGGGAGTGTAGGTATAAGTTGAGGTAGTTTATATAATAGTGGTGCTTTAAACTTTTAAGAAATTTCATCTTTAAATGCATGTGTTTCTCCTGGTAGGGAAAATACCATTATCTCCTTAAATAAATTGGTCCCCTAGCARCTTAGAAGTGAGAGAGTGTGTCAGCTGTTCCAGTGAGTGCTTTTAGGAGCTTATTGTTTCTTAAGGAATTTCCGCACTGTCTTACACTGTATGTATGCAATAAAATCAGTGTACTAGAAGCAAACTCTGGAAAAATTGGAGTTGGGGGAGAATTATTGCCAGGATAGTCAAGTCTGCTGTGCGCTTCAARGGTCAGTTTCTCTTTCGAGACAGTTTTCTGGGAAATGCTGTTTTGGACTGTGGGAAACATGTAATTTCCTGGGTAGTGGTGTGTGATCAGATGCTACTGCTGCTAATAATCCAAGTTATCTGTTGCCACATCTACTTTAGAATTTTGGTAATTCTACTAGAATTACTGTAGAAACCTAAAGAAATCTAAGATTATGACTGCTTTTTGTTCTTTGAATAATTGGTGTTTAACTACAGGACGTTTGTTAGAAGTGTTTATCAGATAATTTTGCTATAACTTAAGTAGATGACTATTGCCCGAAATTTTAAGAACTATTTTTTCATCTAAACTCTCAGTGATGTCAGAAGGCAGAAAACACTGGTTGACTGAACTCTAGGTCAGTTTATATGAGGGACTGAGCCACTTCCTCCCCCCAAAAAACATATTTTTGCTAAAATTGGCAATTTTTCAGAACCTTGTGTGTTGCGTTAGCTGTTTAGAAAAGTGTAAGGTGACCATTGGCCAAGTACCAGCTAGATTATGTTTTATGGTGAAACTTTAATGGTAAAAATTTTCTTCAAAAAGAGCAAAGAGAGTGAAGTAACATGTTTGTGCAGCAAAAATGAGTAATGAATTAGAGATAAAGACTGTCTAAATTTCAAGTATTATAGTTTAGTTTTGAGTATATCTCTGTTTTCTAAAGGGCCCTTAAAAGGTGGGGAAAGTGTAAAAATTACTGGTCAAATACATGTAGTGTACTCAGGGCAGAGAAAGAATAATTTCATCTCACAACAYTGGAAAACCATAGAGTTTGCATACAGTTAGAAATCCAGTAACATTTGTATTATTTCAATAGATGCATTGAATTGAAGATTGTGCACTATGACTATAAAATGTTAAATGTGGGTTGCCTACTTAGGAAGGTGGATATTGGCCAGACTCACATGACTCACATGAAGCCGGGGAAAGTGTCAGGCATCAGTCACAGTTCAACCTTTCATACCTTTTCTTTACATCACACAAATACCACGAGCTCTTTTTACCTATTTCTGATTGGTYGCAAATCTSTGTYTCTTGTTGTAAAATGTCAGCACACRGTTGACATTCCTCAACTTTCTCTCTTTCAAAGTTGATTGTCTATAATATCCAAGGCCACAGCTGCAGAGGCTGCTTGCAGCCTCTTGCTGGCTTTCCACAAGTGGAAGCTTCCTTGGAMAGAGTGTAGACCTGTCACTGCACATGCTATCCATATCTGGCTTCTTTAGAACAGAATTTGAAGAGAACAAGAGAACATGTATAAGGAAACAGGATAAAATGCAATGTCTGTTTACCTTTCGATACAAGCTTTCATTCTTTCATAGGGATTCCCTAGACAGAGGAAGTCCATATTGAATAAAACAGTGATAATGAGATCCAGTTTGCTAAAATGACGATTATAGGATTAGCAAAAAGGACAGGGTAGTAACCACCTTGGTAGGAATCAGTGGGGAATTCTGCTGAAGGAGACTCCTTGTGTGTGTGTTATCCATGGTTCTCTTCGGAATCAGTCTTAATGTTTTTGATAAATGTTTGAACTATAATTAAATGTTTGAGCTATAATTGCATTAATTAACTAATTTACATCATTATACATAGTTTTTATGTGATTTTCTTAGTGTATGAAATCATAGATGCAACTAAAAATTTGACAGAACATTTGGGGAGAGGAGATTAAGTTTGAGAGGGTAAGTGAAGCATAAGCAGCTTGAACATTCTAAGTCACCCACTTAGAAGCTGCTAAGTGGAACTTACAATCAGATGACCAGGTTTGTCTGAAATATTGCAATGTAAATCTGAATATAGAATTTTAGAAGACAGCCCAAGTTGARAAGGACCTGGGAAGACCACGTGGTCCAACTTTTTGGGTAAAAGGGAGCCTGGATGAGATTTGCTGGTACCCTGTCTAGTTGTCTTGGACACCTACAGATATTACGTTGATGTGTTTCGGGATGACCAAGGGCCATCAGTGAGAGTCACTTTCCTTCCAGTAGCTGTAACAGGTGAGGCACATTTCCAGTTGAATTTAAAGTTAATGAAATTTCATAAGGCTTATCACTGAACTTGTGAATTTACTGAATGTTAATTAATCTGGCACTTTCATTGAGTAGAAGGGRGCTTATGACTGGGAGGTCGACCTGCTGTTTGGTTTGCAAAACAAAATATGGAAAAAATTGCATAKCAAACCCTCTAAACTTTTGGAATTAGTTATTCATTATAAACATTTTGAAATGGGAAGGAATGAACACCAAAATCAGGGTTTTCCAGTAACCTTTTAAGATATTTATATTTGGCGCTAGAAATGTTCAACAGCCAAAAGCCGTCTTGCTCCTACTTGTATTTCTTTGACARTACTGCTCTTAATTAGTTTCAACACTAAATGTAATAGTTTAATAAACAGGATTATATGATGCTGAGAGGATAATATTTTATTGACTCCTACTTCTGGGTTTTTATTTTTCCCCTTTTCAGGTAGTTGTCAGGGAAAGTGATTGTGACAGCATCCACAGGATTGCAGATTGAATATATTGCTTGAGGATGCATAAGGTTTGCARATTAGCAGTGGAGATACTGGAGTCTGACACTGTTCAGGGAAAGTAAAATTTATCAAGCACTGTTCTCATAAAATAGGCTTTTTATTGCTTTTCTACTTCTTGTGAGAATAGATTATTTATTTTTAAAAGCTTGAGATTGAAAAAAWTTGGCTGTTGTACCTAAAGTGATTTTGCTTGGCTTTTCTAGCTTACTCACATGTTCAGGATAGATGAACTACAGTGATCTGGTGGATGAGCTTGGAGACWGCTTTCATTTCCTGAAGGCAAAAAAACGAAAGTGCTCTGGAGTCTGATGTAGCTCCTGTGCTGAAACAGCACTGAGTGCCCKGAGGCGGCCGGGCTGTGCCCCTGTGTGCAGGGACTGTGTGGGAGAGTGTTGGGCCTGTGGACTTTGTCCATGYTGAAGGGTGAACAGTGGCAAAAGTAGCACACACACTGAGATGTGTGTGAACTTTTTTTTCTTTAAAAATGGAGCAAGTATGTGTAAAAAGTGATGGCTTTCTCTGTAGAACAGTTTGTTCACAACTGGAATCAAAGAGAGCCTAAGATTTCTGAAGAGGAGATGCAAAATGATGAATGAAAGAGACTGGAAGTCTTGCTTGTTTTAATACCTTGTATGATATGCTCCAAGTATTGTGTGGAGTTTTTGATGCTGGCTGCAGGAATTCTSTATTGTTCCTTGCTGTACTGAAGTGTCTTTTTTTAAAAGAAAAARWAMWGYWYTKYT